ATTCATAGTGTTGCGAGAACTACTTTGAAGAGACCGATTAGATCATACAAAATGCCAGGGTTAATTATGACGATGCAAGTCGCCATACATCATAACTACATATATATAATTACCATGATCACGTTACAGTGATAAATTTATCAATGAGTTGACAATATTCTTTGAGTGAAAACAGCGACACGATTTCAGCCGACATTTAAAAACATCATTCTCGGCACCTAATTTGCGGGTCACTGGCTGCAAAATCATATATTATATGATACAGATATCCTTCAATAAGTATGTTTGTAGTAAATTCATTAGGTAATGTAGCTACGACGACGATTAAAATGACATTTATTAGCGAAACTTGTCTAGTATCGATGAAAATATGACAAGGGGGTAGCCATTTTGAAATCCAAAATGGCGGCTGGGGTATGTGTCCGTGCTTGCGAAAAGCTATATTAAATCGGATAAATTTAAACATTTTAAGGCCACAAATATAGTGAGCGAGGTTGCACCCACAACAGTATACTGCGAGGACAAGACTATTTGACTACAATAAGCTCCAAGGTCAAACAATACAAAGTATTTTACCTGCAATTCGGCCCTTTCAACCTCCCAATGCGATCGCTCCATTTCAAAGCGAGCCCATTCATGTTGTAAAAAGTGTAGAATTCCTGGCATAGAATATTTTGGCTGGTTGACATCTTCTCCTTGCCTGCTTCCACCAACACTGGAGGAAGATCCAGCATTTATCTGGCCACCGTACTGTTGTTGAACTCCGTCATCCATGTTATAACCCTAAATGGCCGCCATTATACGCGAATGGAGAAATAATGCGCAAAGCATTGCGGGTAAACAGAGTGACGTCATGCATAGGTAGGGCAACAATTCTTCTGAAAAAATACAATTATTGACCAATTTCGTAAGTAATTGAAATGCATTTTGATAGAACGTGGTTGAACAATTTAGTGTATAACAAATGAAACAATTTCCTCAGCAACACAGTTCAGAAAAAAAAAAAAACAGTTTCTCCTTCTTCGTGGGGGCGTCCTTCAGATCTCAGCTGAGCTCATTGCCGGTTTAGTTCATTTACAAGAGTTCGGTCAAACAGGCGTGAACAGTTATATTTCCTTCTTTTGGTCGATTTGCTCTTCTACCAATGAAAGACGAATCGAAGAAATTCTTCTAAATTTGCCGTTTTCAAGACTAGAAGATGTTGAAATTTTTGTTGCTAGCAAATAAACAAGGGCACGTCAGACTCACAAAATATTATGAGTACAGTGAAATTAGTGAACGAACTACCCTGGAAGCCGATCTAATTCGAAAAGTACTAGCAAGAAGCGAGAATCAGGTAAAGTTAAAATGTCTAATAATATTAAAATATATATTTTGTGTGTGATTTTAAATATTCTTCATAACAATCACATGCCAATTTGCATGCAAACGAATGGCGCAGCCGAACTGAATTGATTGACTTGTACTATAGCTGTATCAGTATTGTGTTGGCCATTGGGTGTTCTGATGTGGTTACGTGCAGGTCATGCCATGGTGTATGTACTATATAAATCATGGCAACGTCATATACTAGTAAATCATGAGCGTGAAGCCTGAATGGTTTATTTGCTGTAATCATCATGTGACTATGACTTAACTAATTTTTACCACGGCTGTCACAAATTGGTTTTGGCCAATCATGGAGCTAAAAAAATTAGCTCCATGGGCCAATCAAATCATTTTTGTGAATCGTCATAGCTCAAATTGTATTAAATTTTCGCATATTTGGAGTTGTCAGTACTTTGATCACGTATATTAGGGATGCGTTCACTAAGCAAAATTTTGCTTGTTCAGTAGAAAAATGCTTGAAACGCGTTTTCCTTTAATAGTTAACAAACCCCTGGTTATTACAAGAAATATTACTAAAAATAACTGATACCAATGAACGCAGTATAGCACGCAAAGGAGATCATACAAGAAGAAATTGTGCAGAGATAAAGACATTTTCAATCCCCGCTATGCTGTGATTTTTGGTGATATGTTGTGAATCCCAAGAAACTAAGCCCTTCATAGATTATTTCAATGCCATAATAGCTATAAATCTGTCACTATCTTTTATTGTTGTTTACTCATTTGTTTGATCAAACTTTTTTATAATTAATTACATGATGTAATTGCTTAGTACCATCATTTGAAAACAAACACTGTTCAAGATGGCTGTGGTAAAGTACTAATTACTACCGGTAGTACTAGTTAAATCATTGTTGTGTGATGGTTACAGCATGTAAACCAGAAGGTTTATGTTCCGTTCTGACCAATAAGGTGTTTCGACCAATCAAATATGCGTAGGCATAATTTGTGGTTAATTTATCTCATATTCTGAGTTGTCTGTATTTTTATCTTGATACATATATCACACCATAACCAGGTTATGGCATATAACCATGGAAATTCTAGAATACACATTAGGATAATTCAACACAGATATGTTGTATTTCCCCCACAATAGTGAATAGTGAGTGAAATGCAGTATGAATTCTAAATTGTGGCTTCCGTGGCATAAATTATATATACCTTGGTCATGTTATCATTCAGCTGTTGATCTATAGCTCTTTTTGTGTAGGTATTTAGTTTTTGTGATGGTATTTTAGTCATTTCTGTTAGATTTGGTATCTTTTCATTGTTATTTACTGATATTTTATCAACACAGAAAAACTATTAATAGGGTTGTGGCCACAAACATGCAAAACAAAATTGTATTGCAGATTTTTCATAAAGAAATAATCAAAAATATTAATATTATACAATCCCCACCCAAAAATCATGATAAAAAATGTTCTGATTTAAGTTTTTTTCCTGGGTTTTAGGTCACTGAACCCTACTAGTATGTAGCTCGGACGGCAGCCATTCAAACAAGGACAATTATTTTGTGACCAATAGACTTCACTGTTGTATGTAATG